CCACTCACGAGATCACTGTGATGTGGTCTGGCCTGTTTACTGGGAATTGGGGGGAGGGGGCATCTTCAAATAAGTTTCCTTCGATTGTTTGTAAACTGCTGATGCAGTCTGGCCAAAGTCCCCCGAACAGTGTTGTGATGCGCATTTGATCATATCGACATGTTAATTTGCGCAATATAAATATTAATTATTATTATTATTATTGTTACATTTATTAGTCTTAAAATTAGTGACATCATAAGTGACTTCGTTTGTCTGTTACGTAACCAAACAATATGTATGCAGCACGGGTTTTATCGCCCCATATATGGCACTGTGTGTTTTTTCATGAGAGTTGTGAGTGGGAGTTAACTGAAATGTAATAGCAAAATTGAATCAAGTGAATAAGTCGTGAGTTCAGCTTTTCACGTTTTCGACAACTGTCATATAGATGTTTAAGGAGCATATGACAGTCTGCGGCCTTTCCTTACATTTGGGTAGTTCGGGAAGCTGCAAAACTCTACAACAAAAGTTTATCTTTCAAATCTGCACTCTTATTCCCCACGGTATCAACGAACGCTTTACATTCAACTAATTTATTCTTGTTTTCTTCGTTACCATGTTCCCACCCATAGCGTATATCTCCATTTTCTGCATATAAAAACTCAAAAAACCCACAATTCCTCAATTCGCTCTGACCAAGGGCTAGCGCTCGAATTGTCAGCTTTCAAAATTCTTTTCGGTGGCCAATTTACATTATTAACTCAGTTGGTAAAACCAAAATCATTATTGAAAGGCCCACCAGATTAAATGGCTCATTATTGAATGACTTACCCAATTGAATGGCTCACTTTTGAATTATCGGGCGTCAACTGTACAAAAATCATTTGCCAATAATTATTTCCAGATTGGTCTGGATAGCAGCAGATATGTAACAAATTTAAGAAAATATTCGACAATTTTTTTACAAACATGTTTCGACAGTTCTTCTGTCATCTTCAGTTCTAATTTATACAAAGTGCAAAGTTGAATTTAAAGCGTATAACAAAATGCTAATGAGACAAAACAACAATAGAAAATGACAAAGTTGTTTCACATTCTTTTAAACAATTCGCGTCTATTGATTTCCCTGTTACTGGTATAAAGAACTATGTAGTGTTCATTTTTTCCTTTTAAATCACAAATACCCAGTAACTCCATCGTTTGAAAAAAATCAAGGTTTATAATCAATGCTTTCGCATTTTAGTTACAATTTTATATGGTTTGAAATAATGTACCGCCATCAGTCAGGTTTTCAGAGAAAAAATGCTCTAAATAACATGCACTCATTGATATTGTCAACACAATCCAGCACAACATTGTTTAGAAGCTAAGTTGTTCTCCTGTAGCATTTTCATTATTGATCTAAATTAAAGAAAGCATTTGACGCAGTCAACCACTAAATCTTACTGCAAAAACTCAAACATCACAGTATCCGTGGAGTACGTATGATGCACGATCCTCGCAGTAGAGAGCACTATTTATGCATTAGCGAAAATCGGCCTGCTCCCAGTTAGCTTGTTAGCTCAATTGGTAGAGCGCTGCACTAGTATCGCAGAGGTCAGTGGTTCGAATCCCGTACAGGGCTGATTTTTTTCAGGTCTGATTTTCGCTATTACCTAAATAGCGCTCTCTACTGCGAGGATCGTGCATCATACGTATCTACAACCGCAGTTCAAAATATATGAACTTCATATATTCATCGTATCCGTGGAGTAGTTGATATCTGGGTTTCCTCTTATCTAAATAGTCGACATCCAACTACTTAAGTCAGTGCTCGCGTGTCTAAGAAAGATTATTACACGACTCGGGCAGTCAGAGGGCCAATAACTAAAATCAACCAATCAAAATGCTCTATACAC